AGTTCCTCACTGGGTGTTTCACAAATGCCTGTAACTCCAGCTCCAGGGGATCTGATGTTCTTTCCTGGTCTCCAAGGACATCACTACCCATAAGGTACTCACTCACACACACACACACACACACACACACACACACACACACACACACACACAAATAAAAGTAAAAGTAAATCTTTGTGGAAAATAAGACACTTTCTTGGAATAACTGTGAATGCTAAGGATATGTGAAGAGCTGTGACAGTATGGTCAAATACAAAACCTGAGCCAGCATAGGGAATGAAAACCAGTCTTATGATACTCACCCCTCCTTCCATGTTTTTTTCATATTCTCAAGTTCCAAACATTTGCAGATATTAAAATTACAGTAAAATTTACAATTTAAATGTCAAAGCCCATGTTGTTATAAACTTGCGCTCTGAAACACCTGACAGAGAAACTTCCTTAGTAGAAGGAAAACTACAAGACCCTTCTTCTTATGTAAAATACTATACCCTTATTGTGTCAATTAGAAAGACCATGTTATTTCCTCAAGTTAGAAATAGATGCTTTGGCTGAGTGGTGGCATATGCCTTTAATCACACACAACACCTAGGATATAGAGAGGCAGGAGGATCTCTGACAGTTGGAGGCCAGACTGGTCTACAAAGAGAATTCTAGAAGAGTCAGGGCTGTTACATAGAGAAACCATCTCAAAAAACAAAAAACAAAACAAAACAAAACAAAAAAAACCAAAATGATAATAATAATAATAAAAAAGTAAGTAAGTAAGTTATGCCTTGGGTGGTTAAGTATGATCGTATTTCATTGTATACATGTATGGGCTTCTCAAGCAATAGAAAAAGTCTTTGGAAAAAAATATATGCCTTGAGCTGAAGGTGTAGCCCAAAGTCTAGTACATGAGAGGCCCCGGGTTCAACCACACAGCAAAACAAAAAGGTAAAAGAAAAGAAAGAAAACAAATACCATTTATTTAAAAGGTATTTCACATATATCTATTCTTACATTATGGCAGTCAGGTCCAAACATCTGCACTTCAGGAAAAGGATTAATAAATTTAGAGTAATTTAACAATTTATTGTGTCATTTTAATGCATGATAGTTCACATTATGCATTCTTTTCACTTTATGACTATAATTATGGTTATATAGCTCACAGCAAATTTTACACATAAGAAATATAATCTTTAGTCACATAAGGGCAAGACTAAATTTGTTTGAACCTGTTAGGTGAATCTTTTCAATCAAAATGATAAATATCTTCTATACAGTTTGTACAGAAGTTCAAACATTAGGAACATAAGCAGGCTGTCCTTTCTCCACTAACCGTCCTTCTCAGCTCAGAAGCACAATTCTGAGAGTTTACGCGCTCAGTCTATCAAAACTCTCCACATGGTTCTACTTGTTAGAGCTTTAAGTGCCATGAAGCACTATAATTTATTTCATTTAGGATGTCAGAACTGATTCTGATTTTAAGCTCCAGCTCCCCATGTTCTTAAATTAATTCATACAAATCCCTGATTGATAATAAAGAGCTTGCCATCAGTATTCAAAGCTTAGCCCACGTTGTCATGGCTGACAAGGCGGAAATCTGCTTGGAGCAATAAGAGAACCCAACTGAATTCTTGGCGTCTCAGTCTATGAATGTGTAAGCACTTCATCTGTTCATGGAAGCACAATGTTCTGGCAGGTTGGGGAGCAGCAGCTGCATGGGAAACAAACCGGAAGAGCTGAGTAGCAATGCTGCATCAAACACTGAGCGGTCAAGCAACAGCTTCCAAACTGTTTCACCAACAGAAATATGTTATCTAGTAGATATAAGCTGTTTCTGTTCTAGGCACTTATTCTGACTACTCAGTAATCTTTGCAGAGGTCACATATGGTTATGACCTCTACAACTATTTAGAGGGTAGGGAGGGAGGGTAGGAGGGAGGGAGGAAGGGAGGGAGGGAGGGAAGGAAAGAAGGAAAGGAGGCAGAAAGGAAAGTGAGGAAGAAGGAAAGAAGGGATGAAAAGGAGGGAAGAAGGGAGTGAGGAAGGGAAGGAGAGAGGGAGGGAAGGGAGAAGGAAGGGCTGCTGTTGCTGCAAACCCTAAGAGGAGCAGGACCCACGAAACAGCTTTATCCTTCCTAATGCACAGGTGAGAATGCCCAGCCGGACCCAATTCCTACTTGGCAGCTATCTGTATTAGAAAAGCAATGTAAATCTCTGAATGTTAGCTCTTACTTGTGAAATTAGGTTGAATCTACTACAAAGGATTCCTGTGAACATGGTAGAGTAAGAAGCAAAAATGCTCTGCAAACTCTAGTTAGTTGAAAGATAAAAATATCAATAGGGGTCATATGGTACATGAATGCTTTCCAATGGAAAATGGACCTTGAAAAGTTAGTTTCGTCATGTATTTCTTCATTTTACTCCCACTTTTCATTCATATTTAAGGATAACTAACAAAGCTGAAAATCGTGCAGTGCTTACCGTTAGGTACGATTTATACGTGGATATTAACTCATGAATACTCAAAGATCCTGGGGCACATACTGTTACCTCCATCTACTTCTTAGGAAACTGAAGCAGAGTAAGCTCAACATAGTTAGCTTGGGCTTGAACCCATGTAGTGGAGCCTTCACCATTACTGCATTTACCATCTCTACCTACTCACTCACTAGTTCATTAAATACTCAGGGAGTATGCTGAGAATTTTAACAGATTTTCAGTGAGATCTCAAGCCATTTCTACTTTTTTTTTTTTTTTTTTTTAAATGAAGTTACTAAAAGAAATGGACCAGAAAAATGGGAAAGTAGTAATAAGAAAGAAAGGTATGAAGGAGATGCTCCAGGAAATCAGGGAAGTAAGCAATAAGAGAGAAAGTCACAGGACCCAGAAAACAGATAAAGCCAGGCAAAGAGAGAAGAGAAATGTCAAAACAATAACAAAGAAAAGGCCCAGGATAACATCCACACAATAGATCAAGACATCAACTAGTACAGACTGGAGATGAAGAGGGAAGGGCGCCCTAGAAGGTACAGATCTAAGACAGATGGCATGACCAATCTCTGGTAGTGCACCAAGGGAGCTTATTAATTATTTTGGGCAACTCAAGGAGAGAACTCATGGTAGGAACAGAGAAAACTTAGGCAGTGAAAAACAAATACAGAAGTAATTACTGACTTTTAAGAAAAACAAATGTTGTTCAATGGTAAGTAGGTATTACTACGCACAGTTAAATAATCATTAAATCTTTTTTCAACCCTTGCCTTGCTCGTTCATAATCAGAATAAATATCCTACTAGAAAAGGCTTTGGTCTTATAACTTGTTTTGGACAAAAGAATGTAGGCTGATGTGATAATATATATATATTATATATATTATCACATCTAATAAAAGGAAATGTTAATGTACTTAGTGTATGTATGCCTGGTTATGCCTAGTTTAGTTTCTATACACCAACAGTATCTAATTCACTGATCTTTTACCTTTGGAAAAAAACAAACAAACAAAAACAAAACAAAACAAAACAAAACAAAAAAAATCAAAAAAAAAAAAAAAAAAAAAAAAAAAAGAAATCAAGAGGAACTGATCCCAAAGAAAGCTAGTAGAACCTACCGAGAAGCCTCAACTAATCCCAAGCCTTTCTGAAATACTACAAAGATAAACATCAAGCAGGAAACAAAGTAAAAGGATATTAGAATATGTGAAATGTTATTATCCAGGACAAGATGGTGATATAAGCAAGGCAGCTGGACTTTAGGATCTGTTACTGTAGGAAAAGTTGATTGGTACACATAATACAATCCATAGCTCAACGATGTGTTTACATAGTATAATAACATAAGCACTAATTTAATAGTCAATCAGACAGCTGAAATTTAAAGTTGTGTCATAACTATGTTAAGAGGCAGAGAAACTAGAGAGGAAGATGATTAAGACAGGTAAGCATAAATGTAAAGCACAAAGAACTCAAAAATAAAAATAACAAAAGTATATTGTTTAGCATTATGTATGTAAGTTACAAAAGAAGCAACTAAGAGAATGCAAAGTTTTGCCTCAAGTGAGCTAGAACTAAATGTAGTATTATAACTCACACTTTAAATTCCAGAAGGCATGGACAGCCTAGCTCAGGGAAGCTGTTTCCTGAAGGTAAGACATTATCAAACACTATCCCACGCACAGAACTCTTAAGTATACACAAATTACTATTTGCATACTCAACAGATCATCTGTAGACAATGCTTTCCTAACAACGATCACGTGTTAGCCATCCTGTGTTATATTCCCCCTTTTGTTGTTTTGTTAGTGCCAAGGATGGAGTTCAGGGCCTTGTACATTTTAAACAATTGCACATGATAAACAATTTATACAGCTGAGCACACCGCACCTCCAAGGCCCCTGTGACCATTTCCATGTTCATTACAGAACTGTAAAATAACAATAAATCATTAAAAGTTTTTTAGCAAATTTTACTCTCTTGTTAGCCATAATTCAACTGTTCAGTAAGTAGCAACTTTATATACAAAATAAATTGCAAAATAATATAGACTACAAAATAATTTAATATAAGGTCCATTTAAATAATGGGCCAGCATTTAAATTACTAGGTTAATCAAAATTCTGCAACAGATTTCCAAAGATAGTCACATGCCAATACATGTATTTACAGTGTAACAGAAGACATCACTGATAAGTAAGACTGCTGTCACCCATAAGTTTCACTCACCAGGCTGATGGTCTCCTCTCCTTTTATTATAGAAAATGGAAGTTACTTGGCTGTGGCAAGTTTCAGCTCCTAACTTTTACAATGTAAACCTGCACTGGAAATAGTTTCCTCACCAGGATTATGCTCTCTGAGAAACCCTCAGCCACACTCTACACTTGGAATGGTAGCTGAGAGGCACAACAGTTAGAAAATGACATTGGTGTGGTGCAACAAAAGCACAAGAAAAACTAACCCACCAGCCCAAAACACCCATTCACCAGAGATCAGAACAGGGGCTTGTTTTCCTACCTCTTCGTCTTTCACATTCACTTCCACATTTTTCGATTTGATGGCTTTGGTTATGTGGTCAATGTTGTTTTCCCTGCAGTAATCAAATATGTTTTTGTCTTCTTCCCTAATTAGAGTGAAAAAACAAACAAAAAAAGCTGTTTGTCTTACTAGATAAAAAAACAAAAGTTAAATATTTTTTAGCATAACTTATTTGCTGCTGAAGACATTAATGGGTTTAAAGTGACAGGAAAAGTAGACTTCGGGTAGACATAATGTATCCAGTGTCGAAAAAGACTCAAGGACTGAAGGAACTATGGTCCTCAGAGGAAAGCCTTCACTTGCTCTGCACGTTTCATAGTAGACCAGCAACATGCCTTTCGAGTTCTCAGATTACAGCCACACCTGCCCTAGGCTTTGGAAGGTGAAATCCAACCTTCATGCTTGTAAAGCAAGCACTTTCTCCACTGACCCATCTTCCCAGTCTTTAATATAACAATCTCACTTTACAGGCAAAGAGAGGCTAAATAACCTTGCAAGTGACAGCACATTTACCAAATGTAAAACCAAACAAAAACCAAACAAGCAAGAACTTTTTTTTTTTTTTGGCTAGATTCACTCAGGCCATGTGATCCTGTATAACACACGTTTTCTATTATGTCATGTCCCTCCACTAGTCAGGCACAGTTCATTCCAGAATTTGTAGCAGACACTTTCAGTATGAGGTCTATGAGCTCTCATAAAACTGGGGCTGGACTGATGTTTAAGCAGTTAAGAACACTGGCTGATCTTCCAGTGGAACTGGGTTCAGTTTCCAGCACCCACACAGTGGCTCACAACTGTCTCTGATTCCAGCCCCAGAGAACCCAAAACTCTCTTCTGACTTCTGAAGGCAATGCATGCGGTGATGCACAGACACACACAGAGGCAAACACATACACGAATAAAAACAAAACCCCAAAATATATTACATAAAATTATCCTCTAACACACTTTTGTGCATTTTTTTTCTGGATCAGTGATTCATAAAATGGCAATAGGTAATATAGAATATGAAAATGAAAATCTCTAATATGTGGGCTGAACTTTATGGGCAGGTATAAAGGGATGCTTTTCATATTCTCCAAATTAATTTAATAATTTTTGTTTAGTTTTGCCCTGGCCATCCTTGAACTTGTTCTGTGGACCAGGCTGGCCTCAAACTCAGAGAGCTACCTCCCTCTACCTCCTGAGTGCTGAGATTAAAGGTGTGTTCTTCTGCCTGGCTACTAATATATTTTATTATCTTCAAGACCTTATCTATATACTAAAAAAAAAAAAAAAAATCAGAGTCCATCTACCCTAGAAGACAATCTAAACAACCGATTTGGAGTAAAGTTATTGCAATCATAACTATCTTAAAACATAATGCTTTGGCATTAACCACTCAAAGCCTTTCTGAGACATCCAGTATATTTAGTTGAGCACCAACTACACAGAAGCCAAGGTTAGTTGATTGCAGGTACATGGCTAAACAATAAAGTCTGCATTTAACACAGACACTATACGGTTGAGATGATCATGTCTAAACTTGATTAATGTGAGCTAGAACCTGACCTTGGCAAAAGACGGAGAGAGAACAGAAGGAATGGCTTGCTTTCAGCTAGAGAAAATGAGCTTGGTTTTAAGGAAGAAATCATGTCTTGTTTGACAGAAATGAAAGTGTTTTTTTAGATTGCAGAAAAAAATGAGAAACTAAGGTCAAACCCTAGAAAAGTCTAGTTTTTAAAATCAGGGCTGCAAATACTACTACTTTTAGGTATAGTTAGCTAACAATGTCAACACTATTTCTATTAAAAAGTACGTTTCTATTTCCAATTTGGGAACAACAGAGACCCTTGGAATTCAAGAGGCAACAATCCTAACAAGGAGAGAAAAGGATTATCCTTTTAATTCATAACAAAAAGTACTGTCTGGAACAACTGTTTACTTGGAAAATAATGCACAGTTGGTGGTGGGCACAAAAAGGAAATCTGGAGGACACTCTGGAGGGACACCCACACCTGGGAATACTCAAAAGCTCTGCAGAGGATGAGAGGGCAGAGCATCTGGAGTGTTCTGTTCAGAACCCAAGTTTCCCATGCACATGCATGGGAAACCTGTATCTATGCACTAAGAACAAACATAGGACACATACATACACAGTACCTAAGCACTAAGGACAAGCATAGGACACACACACATATCTATATCTACACACTAAGGACAAGCACAGGATACACACACACACACACACACACACACACACACACACACACACACACACACACACACCTGTATCTAAGGACAAGCACAGGACGCACAGGATACACAAACACACACCTGCACCAAGGACAAGCACAACTCATACACACATACACCTGTATCTAAGCACTAAGGACAAGCACACAAGCACAAGAGATACTCAATTGTTTATCTTGCCTAATATAATTTTTTAATGTTTCTTAGACACATTACCTATATCAATTATTTTGCTTTGGTATGTGGAATCTAAAGACCAGCAGACATTTAAAATCTAATATCTGTTTATAATATGCAATTTTTTTTTTTACTAATAAATAGGTAAGGCACAGGCATCTAAATAATACTAGAGTAAAAAATACTATTTAAATTAAATGGTAAAAAGTTTAATAAAAGCACTGCTAATATGCTACGAATTGAGTGCCTAACATTAAAAAATTGAGGATACTCTCCAGTTTGTTAAATATATGCATATATTAATTTTCACACCAAACTACTACTTCACTGGTGAACAAAATCAAACAATTCTCCCTGCCCCCCAGTGACCTTGATTCCTGAGGCAAGATCTCACTATGTGCTCAGGTTGGCTTTAAATATGCATTCCTCCTGCCTCAGCCTCCTAACAGCTAGATTAGAGACAATGTGCTACCATGTCTGTCACATGCAAACCTATCTTTCTTTCTCCCACTGAAATGCCTTTGAAGTCCTCCAAAACAATTATTCTCTTACAGTCAGACTCATCTTAAATGAGATTGCGTGCACTATGACTCTAAGCCCTTGGTACAATGTAGACCTTAAGAATATTAGTATGTCTTCTAATTTACTTCCCTTTCTCTTAAGGTTTTTATTTAGTAAAATAAATTTATCTCCCTTTCTCCTCGTTGGTGAATGAGTTTTTTCAAGCACAAGACAAAGTCTTTTCTAAGATCACTCCAAAGAAGACTGCAGATAGACCCATGTCTATCACCATGAACAAAACTCAAGTCCAAAAGGACCAAAGACCTCAACATAAATCCAGCCACACTGAACCTCTTAGAAGAGAAAGTGGGAGGTACCCTTGAACAAATTGGTACAAGAGACCACTTCCTGAACATAACTCTAATAACACAGACACTGAGATCGACAACTAATAAATAGGACCTCCTCAAACTGGGAAGTTTCTGTAAGGCAAAGGACATAGTTGACGAGACCAAACGGCAGCCCACAGACTGGGAAAAGACTTTCACCAACCCCACATCTGACAGAGGGCTGATCTCCAAATATACAAAGACTCAAGAAACTAGTCACCAAAACACCAAATAATCCTATTAAAAAATGGGGTACAGAACTGAAGAGAGAATTCTCAATAGAGGAATCCAAAATGGCCGAAAGACACTTAAGAAAGTGATCAACATCCTTAGCTATCAGGGAAATGCAAATCAAAACAACTTTGAGATACCATTTTACCCCTACCAGAATGGCTAAAATTAAAAACACCAATGACAACTTATGCTGGAGAAGATGTGGAGAAAGGGGAACACTCCTCCACATCAGGTGGGAGCGCAAACTTGTACAGCCATTTTGGAGATCAGTATGGCGGTTTCTCAGGAAAATGGGAATCAGCCTACCACAGTATCCAGCAATCCCCCTCTTAAACATATACCCAAATGAGCCAGCCACATCCATGCAACAAAGACATGTGCTCAACTATGTTCATAGCAGCATTATTTGTAATAGCAAGAACCTGGAAGCAACCTAGATGCCCCTCAACTGAAGAATGGGTAAAGAAGATGTGGCACATTTACACAATGGAATACTATTCAGCAGCAGAAAAAAAAAATGGAATCATGAAATTTGCAGGCAAATGGATGAAACTTGAAGAAACCCCATTCTGAATTAGGTAACCCAGTCACAAAAAGAGGAACATGGTATGTACTCACTCATATATGGATTTTAGACATAGAGCAAAGAATCACCAGCCTATAATTCGTACTGCCAGAGAAACTAGGATACAAGGAGGAACCTAAGAGATTCATACAAGGTCCCTCACAGAAGTGAAAAGGAACAAGATCTCCAGAGCATATGGAGAGTGGGGGAGCAGTGAGTGGAGAGGGAACTAAGGGAAAGAGAAGGGAGGAGAGGAAAACATGTGGGACTAGGAAGATTGAGTCAGGGGAGGAACAGATGAGAGGGGGGGAGGGAGGGAGGGAGGAATGGAGAAAGATACTATAAAAGAGGGGAGCCATTATAGGTTTGACTATAGAGAAATGTCGAGAGATCTACAAGGATGATCCCAAGTAATAATCTAAGCAACAGTGGAAAGGCTACCTTAAATGCCCTTCCCTGATAATGAGACTGATGACTAACTTATCTGCCATCATAGAGCCCTCATCTAGTAGCTGATGGAAACAGAAGCAGACACCCACAGCTAAACACTGAACCGAACTCCTGGAATCCAGATGCAGAGAGGGAGGAGTGATAAGAAAATGGGGGCAAGACCAGGCTACAGAAACCCACAGAAACAGCTGACCTGCACAAGGGGGAGCTAGTGGACCCCCAGATTGATAGCTAGGAAACCGGCATTGGACCAACTCAGACCCCCTAACATGGGTCTCAGTTAGAAGGCCTGGGCAGTCTAAGGGACCTCTGACAGTGGAACCAGGATGTATCCCTGGTACATGAAAGGACTTTGGGAGCACATTCCCCATGGAGGGATAATCCCTTAGCCTAGAGGCAGGAGGGAGGGCCTAGTCCCTACTCCAAATGACTTGACAGATTTTGTTGATCCTGAAAGGCATCATCTGCCCTGTGGAGTGTGTGTGTGTGTGTGTGTGTGTGTGTGTGTGTGTGTGTGTGTGTGTGTGTGTG